ACAAAGTGTCTGATTGTACAAAAGTGTGCAGCCACCACAGCTCTAGAGCGAACAGAAGCCTCAGTTTTTTAAATTGGAGGAAAAGCAAAAAAGATCCCTGTGCCAAACAGGGTCATCTGTTCAAGTCTGATATTCAGAGGCTGTTTTATATGGGGAAATAGGCCTTCCTTAGGTGGATTATGGTTTTGTTGGGATCCCTCACTACATTTTTAAAATATTCCTTTGGATGAATAGGCAATGGATGAAGACAGTAAGAAATTGGACAAACTTCAGGAGCAGAATTTAGTCTCCAGTCTTATGACATTTTAGTGCCAACTCTCCAGGCTCCCCGCTGCTGCTCTTGAAAGCTGCAAACCTACAGGTGAGGTGAGCCAGACTTCACCGGGCATCAGAACCAAGACCAAGCTCCTGGGCTGAGCCTGGATCCAGGCGATATGTATGTGCAGACTGTAGCTGGTGACTGTGCATCTATAGATGTTTGTTTTCCTTCACAGTAGGCTTTGTCTGATGTCAGGAATATGTCCTTTGATGATATGAGAATCCCACAGACAATGAGATGTTAAAGAAACAATGAGTGCAGAACCATAATTTCACAGGAAATTTGTACTCAGGCTACAAAAATTTTACATCCCATAAAAGGGAGAAGGAAAACAATCAGGGTTTTCTTTTTACAGTAGAACTAAACACTCATTGGAAAATATTATGTGCTTACTTCAATATTATTGCCAGTTTTTCATATTGCCTAGCAGAAGTTCAGGGTACAGTTTCAAAGTTGGCATAAGCCAGTCTAGCTGTGTGACACCACAGAGAGGGGGCAGATCCTCCCTCGCACACTGCTGCCCATTCCTTTAACAACAGGCTGAACAGTTGCTGATGTCAAAGCAAGGGTAGCAAGTACTAGTGCACTGCAGGGATGGAGGGGAGGACAGTGTTTCAGCAGTAGCCTGAAAATTCTCTTTAAGGTGGTTGTAAAACCCCAGGGTGAGAGTCCATCTCAGTAAACACCATGCAAAAATCTTGCACAGATTTTGAACTGAGCTGTGTTTTTTTGCTGGCTTTTGAATTCTTTTCTATTTTAGTACTTTGCAGTCCTTATGTGCCCAGTTTGTTATCCCAAACTATTTGGGGCAATGATAAAGAGCAGGACTGTAAGAGCTGGGTCCCACTGCAAATTTTAAGTAAAGCACTTACCTGTTCTGAGACCTGCAAACTGAAATCATAATGCTCAGTCTCTGCTTTCCTCTCACTTCATCTTGTTAGGAAATGGGAATGGATACCTTATTCTGGAAACTTGGTTCATCGTTTGTGTTAATATAAGCAGGAGAAAGTGTCCTTATTTCTGACTCGTATTTTTGCAGGTCCCCGCAATATAAATGGTAAGTGCCATGCACCGAGTCTGTTACCATAGAAAAGCAAAATGCTGCCTATTCCTGTGCTGCAGTATTACATTCACACTCACCGTCAGTGCTCTGGTTAATCTGCTTTCTATGATTTCCTGGTTGTTTACCAGAAACGAGTGCCTCTTAGGAGATTCTTAGGAATGTGTTTTGTTTTTTTTTCCTGGTATTTCATTCTCTGATTAGAAGAATTAAAAATATGTGCCAGGTAAACCTGCGCTCCTGCTCCCATTCCACATTGCATCTCTTCTCACTGCAGCTAATTTACAGGTTGTTAAGTGCTAGTGTGCTATGGTGTTTCAGCTCCATGTGTTTAAAATGGCCTTTAGGTGCACTAAGATTTTCTGTAAAATTCCAACTTCTGAAGCATCTCTTCATCCCTGGCATTTTTCTGTTCCTGTTTTTATAATAGCTGTTGTCAATTTGCTTTGCTTTCTGATCTGTCGTGGAGAGGGGTCTGTAGTTTCAGATTGTAATTACCTGAAACTGCTTTATTTCGCTCACTACAAGAAGACATCTCGGGTTTTTTTGATAGTAAGTGGTGTATTTATTTTTGTTCTTTTGCTTGCTTTGTTGTTTATAAACTGTTCCATTGAGCTTACTCACTGTTACTATGCACTGGGTTTTGTCCTTGAAAGATAAGCATTACAAACTTTTCATGGGCTACAGAGAAGGGATAATTTTAAATAAATATTTTAATGATAGCAGAGACAATATACTGTGTTTAAACACAAGGACCTATCATTGACTGACCCATTACAAGCAAAGTGTATTATCCTGTCTTTATTCTTCTGCAAAGATGGATCTTTTTAGCATTTATTACAGACAAATGCATAGGACATTAACCTGTTTTCTTAATGGTAATTTATAATGATATTATAATTTGCTCTGTATAATGCTCTCTTACCCAGAGGAAATAAAAACAACTCTAGTATGAAGAAACCCTATTGCTGTGGGTGACATCTAGTTGCCCTCACTGATATTACACAGTCATTAATGGAAGTGTTCACCATTTCAGTCTGCAGGAGTCCCTCCTGAAGACTTTGCATGTGTGGGCTAGACAATTAATTTCTGGAAATATGCCACAGCCAAGGTCAGAAGGGTAGTGCTTGGATTTTCAGTGTTCTTATGCAAGGCCCCTCAAGGTGATATTTAATTTTATGACATGAGTGGTGTGAAGGTGGTGAAATATATCAGTGCATCCAGCCCCCCTTTTTTTTTTGACTAAAGCTGATTTTAGCGAGGGGCAGTCAAAGCAACATTGAGCATGTTTTGGAAATTCTCCATGGAGCAGTCTTTTCAGCACCACAGCTTAGTGGTAAAGTTCTTGCTACAGCCAGGAATAATAAAACAGCGGGGTGCTGATAGCTGAAGGAAAACAGCATCTAATTGCCTCTTTCTATGTTACAGACTCCCCTCTTGGCTGATGTGCCTTCTGGAGGGAGGGACATCCATAGGCAGCTGGGCCACGCAGTCATTCTGCAATGCCAGCTTGTTTGTCTTTGCCATATCCCTGGAGCAGGGTTTCTAAGCCCTCCCTTTTCCAGCTGGGAAACAAATACACAAAGCAATTTTTACTTATTTATTTTTAATGGACTCTTTTGACTTCCATGAGGTCAGCACACAAAGTCAATGCATTTATGCATTAGCATGACATGATCTAAACTCAGACCCCCATCAAAGCTCTTGGTGGATAACCTCAGCACCTGGAACATCCTCTCCTTCCCCATTCTGTGTCTCCTGCTTGCTGAGGATAACAGCTCACAGTTTCAGCTGAGGATGATGCTAACATCTAAAATACGGCTTTCCCAAAAGTCTCTGGAAACAGTGTGGATGATTACTATTAGCAGAGAAGGCAATATATACAGGTTGTTATTCCTCTCTAGTTGAGGAAAATGGTTGAAAATGAGTTAACACTGCTGAATGTGCAGATAGCTGAACATGTAGAAACATGGTAACACATTTACCATGCTGCCTGCAGTGTAGTTAGCTTCTTATCTAATTTGCTACTGTTGGTGCTACTGTTGGCCTTGTGCTTGGGTGAGGTAAGAGGAGGATCCGAAGGCTCTTGGATCTTTTATTATATGTAATTTAATTAGGTGTGTTGATACTTTGATATATGTAGGCTGGATGAAACTAGGCGACTTAACCAGACTGGCTCAGGAACAAGTATTATCTCTACCTGGAATGAATTCTCATTAGAGTTATTGTTTATTTTCCCTTTTTCACCCTAATGGTAGTGCAAATTAATGGAACCTGTTAAAGGTCTTATTAACTACAGCTTGTGTTTACTTTCTCCAGAAGCTCCACCCTGGCTATACACCAGACCTGTTGGAAGCACTATTTGACTATCCCTGAGTCAGGCTACAAATGATCTTCCATGTTTGCTGAACAGGAAAGGATTAAACTATGAACAATATAGAATGAGATGGATAGTAGGGTTGAAAGCCTTTGATCTAGTCCACCAAATTCAATCTAACACGAAGTTTTATGCGTGATTGGGAAGGGATTTTTAATTTTTTTTTTTAAAGTCACAGGCGGACAGCTGTTCAACTCCAAGAGTGGGAATTAGCTGTCCTTTGGTAACCTCCTCCTGGAAATAATTTTTATCTGAGAATTATTTCTTAGCCCAACTGAAGTTGGGAGTCTCAGGGAACTTCTGAGGAGGCAGATGCCCACATCACAGAATTATTACCCCAACATGCTTGAGTGTTAACAGTCTTGGCAAACACAGTGCTGGGTTTGTTTTCATTCCTCTGTTGTCTTACTTAGGAAGAAGTCTATTGCTGGGAGACCTGAATTTCTTCTACATCTGTTAGATAGTAGTTGGGTATTTCCATTTCAATCTCATATCTGATTTTCTAGATGAAGCAAAATAAACATACGCTGTTGATTGTGATAATTACTGAACTTGCTGATGGCTTGAAAAGGGTAAATTTGACTGCATCAGCTAAGAAGGTGTGTCTAGTATTGCCCAGTTTTAGGCCCACAAAAAATCTTATCACCTTTCATAAGAGAAGCAGGCATGCTCAAGCTATTGCTTAAGCAACATTTTGTTAATAAAATGTTTTGCAATTCAATCTCCTATTGAAGAGGCAAGGCAGTTTAAATGAAATAACAATAAAATTAGGGGTGGTCAAAGAATGCTGGATCTTAGACATGTACATACCTTGTAAATTTAGGGTAAATTAAATGGGTAACTGTAGAACTTAGTAGAAGAAAAAAAGAAAAGAAAAAAGATTGTTGATATTTCCAAATGTCATTAGACAATATTGAAACAAGACTTAATTTTTAGTTTGGACTTGTTCCATGATACTCTGCTGTCCAAAAGTAGTTTGATATCTACAGACAAAATACTTGCTACTGCAGATCACAGAAACAGAAATGATGTTAATGGTTGGGAAGACAATAAAATGTAGCCAGTTAATGAAAGAGTTTGATCTGTACAGAAAATTATTTTGAGCAGATACGCACATATATAGAAAGCAAGATTAATTTAGAGACCTTTGTCATTAAAGCAGATTTTTGTATGGTTTTGTGTGGGATTTAAGGGGGATTAAATGTTTGACATCACTTTGCCTGCACAGAATATGTTGAAGAGGTTGCTGAGCGGGTGATGGAGAATTCAAATATGCGCCTATGCTGAAAGAGTGGAAGCAATGGATCAGACTGCAGCCTGGCCAAACAAACTGCTGTCTCTACTACCTTTCTAAATGCAAGGTGCTTCTGGTTTGACAGCAGATGCCGCAGGGATGTAGAGCTGAAGGAATTTTTATGATTTACCAAAATATGAGGGGAACTCAGCGAGGACATCAGAACGGGGATGCCCCTGTCTTCTGTCTTCAGTGATGCCTTACTTCATGTGCATCCTTTGTATGCTATGCTGTTTCTAAACAGTAGAAACACTAACAATAAGAAGTCAGCAAGGTGGATTGGCTGATCAGGTGCATTTCTCTTTTGGAAGAGATGGTCCTGCTCATGAAACTTCTGTTCCTCACCTGCCTGTGGCCAACAGCAGTGCTACACAGTTCTCAAAATCAGCATCACCATCTTCATCATCGGCAACAGTTCTCATTCTTAACAAAGCATACCAGGTAAGTAATATACTCTTTCTATGTTCGTCTGATAAACTTCATGCTATCAGCAACCTTTCAGTGCACCCTTTTTGTTCACTGTCCTGTCCTGCCAGTTTCTGGATTTACATTATGCATAGTATTGATAGGGTGTTCCCAAAAGAAAAATGGTGAACTATGAATTATTTTTTCATAACCAGACTTTTCATATTGTGATTTGATTACATATATTTGATCATATATATGCAGGTGTGTACACACTCACACACCCACACAGCTCTTTTAGCTTGTGTGATATTAGACAACTATTGTGATACCAGACTGCTATTGTGATGTACCGAGTATTCTTACCCTCTCACTCCCATTACAAGCAGAAATGCCTCCCAAAGTTCTATGCCAATGTTAGAAGGTGACTTCCATTACCTAAACAGCAGAGTAGCTACACTATTAAGATACGAAAGACAATTTTATGTCACTAATTGAGGTGAATTGTACCTTATTTGTAGCGATGACACAATGTGTTCCCTTTCTGGAATATACTTATTCTTCTAGACATTGAAGATTGTTTCTGTTCTTAGTCTTTCCAATCAAGTAGCTGATTTCAAGTGAATAATGATACAAAGATATTTACATGTGAGTTTCTGTGCAAAGTGTTAGTACTTTTTCACACAAGTGCAACTTCCCTTTTGCCGTGAGAGGTCCTTGAATGTGTTTCCAGATTAATCTAACAGTATGTGAACAGACAAATGACTGACAGTGATAATCCAAATCTCTGTTGGGAGGCAGGAGAAAGTGTAGTAAGTAGCTCCATTTAGGGAAGGAGAAGGGATACAACTGTTAATTTTTTCTATGTGCTTGATACCCCTATTTAAATAAGCAGGGGAGCTCATAGTTTATTCATAGTTTATTCATACAATATCACATACTGAGGAAAAGTGGACTCCTCTGATGTGTTTAAGCTGCTTTTTTCAAGTGACATGCTTTGTAGCAGGTGTACAGCTGTTTATCTTCACTTCTTTGTGATAATCCAGCAGTGACATATCTCTGAATCCCTACATGTCTTGATAAAATCACATTTAAGCAATGCAAGGCAACAGGACATATCCCAGTGACACAATGGAGCTGCCTGGAGATGCAGTATCTCTCAGTACTTCTCAATTTCAGTTCAAGGTCATAGGTTCAAGTTTGGTCTAAGCCAAAAGCTCACGAATAGGATGGCTATTCAGCAGGCTGTTTCAAACTCACTGACAGTTTTGGAGTGAGTGCCGGTGCATGATTATTTGTAATAACAAAACAATATAAACAGAACTAGCCCTAATATCAACATAAGGTCCACTCTGGTGCTTTGCTAGTCTCAGGAAACAGTTAAGAATCAAATGAAAACAGAATAAAATATCTTCTTATTGCTGTAGTGGTAAGGAAGGTCTATTTTAAGCTCAGCTGATACACTTTTGTTGGTGGTAAAAAGGAAGCATATGCTACTGTTGCTTGTATTTATCCTGTTCTGCAGTAGCTGAAAGGAGTTGCTCCATCACTGACATAAAAAAAAATCACAAAGCAGGAGAGAAGTCTAGTGGTAGGAGACAGCGTATTTTGTGGCATCCTGCTGGTCATCCTTTGCTGACCTCTTGTCACAGGACAGCAGTAACAATACTAGCACAGTGTCCTCTCCACAGATCTTTACTAATACATACAAATGGATCCATACAGCAATCCTGTGAGACAGGCAGAAGTGTGTTAACAGGAAGGAAGGACAGGAACAAGGAGGAATGCCAGGACTGATGGTTACCGATGTAGCAGTTTTCTTTATACAAGGCAATGCTTTGGCCTTCCATGTCTTCATTTCTTAGTTCCTAGTGATTTGGAACTGGGAAGAAGATTGCAGAATTGGAGCCACAGAAGATCCCAAAACTTAACAGCTGCAAAACAGCTTTTCTGTGGAAAGGATCCAAATATATTTAATTTCTCTTTGATTCTCTGGTTTTGTTCTAAAAGCAGCATTATCCTCCAGTACATTGCAACAGGGTCTGACTTTCCACCAGGCTCTTTTTCTTTCTGGGGAAAAACCTTTCAGCCAGCACTAGGGTTATTAGGGACACAGCTGACAGATGGCCTTGGTTAAATGGGTGGCCTTTTAAAAAGAATCCCATGTGAAAATGTTACTTAACCTACAAGTTCCACTGTTTTAATAGAGTAACCCAATTCTCCCTCCAAAGCTATTTGCATTCTCTTGAAAAGAAGATTTTAAAGCATTAACCAAAAGTACATGAGAAAGAGATTATTCTCGTGGTCCATTTCCTACAGCAAAGAACAAAACATTTGACTGTCAAAATATTAGGCTTTTTGACAGTACGTGTTGCTGATATTACTGAACACTTAGAAATGCATTTTTATGTGAGAGAGAGCTGTACACTTGATTACATTTATTTGGGCTTCAAGATTTGGTAAATGTGTTAAAATGTTTAAGAGATCATGTTGCTATATAATTCCACAGATTCTCCTAGGAATAAGATTTTTTGTAACTTCTGCCTTTTGTATATCTTTGATTTGGTGGTAGTTAGAGTATCTTGTGGTCATAGCACTGGAAAGAACCTTATGGCCATTAAATCTAGGGTATTCTTTTAATAAAAGTTTCCTTCATAGTAGTCTTTTCATAAACTTACCTAGTTTCATTCTGAATCTGATGAGAATTTTTTTCCCCTACTACCCCCATACTGTAGCAATGAAAGAATGTTGGTACCTTGGATATCAAATTAGTTTAACTGAAACCAAAACCTCTCCTAACTATCCTTCCTAACATATGAGTTTCAGATTTTTCAAAATTTTTTGTGATGAGGATGGTGCTGGAAATGTGTTTATATCTTCCTGAATATGCAGAGGTGCTTCGGCCTTCCTCCAGTCTCCTACCAAGAATTTTTACCATATCATTAGTTATGCAGGGCATTAAAACAGAACAGCCATGCAGGATCTTACCAAAGGTTCATATACTGTAGTGATGTGTTTCCAAAAAAGGCTGTAAGCACAAGTTTGGAAGAATAAGGGCAGGGCAAACAAATAAGATATTTCCCACTAATACTCCCACCCATATCCAGTCACCAGATTTCCCTCAGAGACTTCCTGTGTTGGATGTGATTTCTGCAGGTTTAGTGACCTTCAGTGGTTTTTCCATGAACTTTTCCAATTTCTCCTTGAACAAGCATAAACTTTTGATAACCTAGCAAATTAAAGACAACCAGAGGGGATACTAATCACATCAATCCCATTAATGGGAAGTTGTGGAACTACACTGATGGCATTATGTGGTTAAATGCTTTAATATAAAACATTCCAAGTGCCGTTGAGCAGACCTTTGACCTTTTGTTCACTATTAGGTATTCAAGGTTAGGTAGGAGCAGCTAAATTTGTCTTTAAAAGCCTGCCACATATTTGTCCATTGTTAAAAATTTTTGAATTAGTTGCTTTGGGTTTGTAGGCAGTGACTAACTGCTCTTTGAGAGCTCTGTCAGATACCAAAGCATTGAGCCATGAGTCCGTATAACAGTATTGGGTAGTGAAGTGTCCAAAGAGTATATCTCATGTTTTTTCCTTCAAGGAGCTAGTGCTTCCATTAACTTCCTATATAAGCACCAGCAGGGGGGTCTTCCCTATGTGATCTGAAGCACTTCAAGTGCTTTTTATGACCTCTGTTGGAATTTAATTATAGATTACCATTTCATTTGCTTTATGTAAAATGCTGCCTGGAATACAGCTGTGGAAAGCAGAGCTATTGCAACTGGAAGCAGTAGTTTCTTGAGCATGTGCTTCACTGAGACCAACAAACTCCTATTTATTATTGCCCAGATCTATGCCAATACCAAGCCATCTGTCAGAGTTCCCTTTATTACTACTACCCCAGGTAGGTGGAGAGAGATTTCCTTTCCTTAGGTGAATATATCTGCTGATACATGCATCTGCTGATGATTTCACAACCCTTTCTTCACTGAAAGGGTTGTCAAGCATTGGAACAGGCTGCCCAGGGAAGTGGTTGAGTCACAGCCCTGGAGGTCTTTAAAAGACATGTAGATGTGGTGCTTAGGGACATGGTTTAGGAGTGGACTTGGCAGTGCTAGGCTAATGGTTGGACTCGATGATCTTAAAGGTCTTTTCCAACCTAAACAATTCTATTATTCTGTGATTCTGTGTGGTCTTTTCCTCTCAAACACCAAAGCCTGACATCTGCCATACAATGAATGTGCAGAATCAATGACTGCATATAGACTTCTAGGTCATGGTGTGCTGGCCAAAGCTGTGTGATAAAGAGACCAGGGTGCCAGGCCACCAAAATATAATCTGTGTCTTGCTGTGCTTCTGTGAGAATGAAAAGTGTATTTTGACTGACCTCAGGAAGCTCTTCTGAGACTTAGGCTAGTTAGCTCTATCTCTTCTGCTTTTTAATGGAATTGGTGCCATGGGAAGGAGCACTCAAGAAAACATCTGCTGATGATTTCACAATGCTGTATGGTGATCAATAGTTAGATATGGGTCTAGGATTTCGTGGGAGTAAACAAATACATACATGTGACTCCCTTTGAATCATCAGTTAAATAACTGTAAATCTGCAGTAAGGACAATTTAGTACTGTAGCTCTTAGCCAAGGAGCAACATCTGGAATCCAGATGCTGTGTTAAAGGAATATCTGCTGGAGAACACTTCTTAGCCTTGGGTGGGGAAAGCAGTCAAGAAGGAGAAAAAATATGAAGCAGAAGTATATTATTTTTAAATTATTTTATAAATTTTAATGGAATTTTTCTAAGTTTTGGTACATTTACACATGCAGTGCTACCAGCGTCTATGAAATTAATTCCAAGTACCATGAGCACATATCTCTGCATGTAAGCCTGTTTTCCTTTACAGTAAAAAAAAATATGTTCTGCCAAAGGAAGGTATTGAAGATGTAGCATGTTTGTAATGAAAGTGCTATTCTGACCCCTGCAAGGTCTTGCCTAGCTTGAACAACCACTTTTGATAGCAGCTAGAAATAATTATAGATACTCCACCATTTGTAGATAAAACATCAGCTTAAAGAGGCTGTTAAGTGGACACTAAAGATAGTTTTCATATAGGCAGCTTTTCTGTTTATTTTGTCCTCATCCAGAAAAACAGAAGTAGTATCAAAGTCCCATAACATCTCTTCTGAGTGGCTCATTAAAAAAATCCTTCCCTGGTAGCTTATGTTTTGCCTCCTGTGATTAGGGAAAGTCTTCCTCAGTCACAAACTTGCTTCTAGTAAGAAGCTGTAATAGATGTATCATAGTTTTAGCCTGCTTCTTCAAGTGAAATCATTGGAGCATCAAACAGGTATTATCTTTGGCACATCCAATGACAAATAACCTCATGCTTCCAAACTGCATTAGCTGTGCCATGGCATTCTGAACATAATTCATCATTTTCTCTTAGACTTGTTCCCAAACAGCAGAATTTCCTTGTATACCTATTGCAGAGCATCGAAGGCGTTCAGTTCTACTGCCCATTCTGCTCTGATACAGTCTTGCTCTGAGGTGATTTTAATTCTCTGAAGCATAGGGTTTCATTTTAGCATGCACATAATTTTCATACTTAGAAAACTAAAATCGGTATTTGAAATGCCTGATGGGTGTTCTGACTGCCCTGATAATTTGGTACAGACAACACTGCCAGAGACATTCAAGTATACTAAGGTAAATTAATTTGTTCAAGCCCAGTGGTTCTGAATAGCCCAGCAGCCACCTCAGCATTTCGGTAACATAGCATTTTAAAAAGTAATTTCTTGGGCTTTATTATTAAGAAAAAAAGTGGGGAAAGAAGGGGAAAAAGAAGTAAATACAGGCACATACCTCATCCTAAGGTATTTCATACTTCATCTTAAGTGGTGTTTGACTACGGGGCAAATCTTCAGAACAGATTTCTATCATTCAGGCTAAAGTAATAATTAGAGTTGCTGGCAGCAAAGTCCCAGAGAATCACAGAAGGCATGAAAGACATTATGTCTGGGGAGAGTCCCTTGCCTGTGGCAAAGCAGCTGTATTTAAGTCATTCTTACAGATATATGTCTAACCTGTTCTTAAGTAGCCCAAGTTAAAGGAGTCTCAAAACCTGCCCAAGTAATATGTTCCCATGTTTCACTATTCTCACCATCAGAAAGGTGTTCCTAATGTTTACCACAGATCTCTCTTGCTGCCACTGCTTATGCTACTGGGGAGTGGTCATGGAGCAAAGGGCCCTGTAAAAGCTCATGATGTGTTCTGAAGACTGTGATGTCCCCTCAGTCTTCTTCCTCTAAATTAAACTGCGCAGGTTCTTACAATCTTCCCATACCTTTCCTGAAACGGGGCCCCAGAGCTAGGCATAATTCTGCTGGTAAGGTATTGCTAGTTGTGTTATAACTAAAGCAGGATATGCAACAAGGAGTGGAAAGCTGAGGAGACATCATGGGCAGCGAAGCTGATGGAGGGTCTGGAGCACAGGTCATACGAGGAGCGGCTGAGGGAACTGGGGGTGTTTAGTCTGGAGAAGAGGAGGCTGAGGGGAGACCTCATCGCCCTCTACAACTACCTGAAAGGAGGCTGCAGAGACCTGGGGATGAGTCTCTTTAACCAAGTAACAAGTGACAGGACAAGAGGGAATGGCCTCTAGTTGCACCAGGGAAGGATTAGACTGGATATTAGGAAGCATTTCTTTCCAGAAGGGGTTGTTGGGCGTTGGAATGGGCTGCCCAGGAAGGTGGTGGAGTCCCCATCCCTGGAGGGGTTTAAGAGTTGGGTTGACATAGCGCTGAGGGATATGGTGTAGTTGGGAACTGTCAGTGTTAGGTTAATGGTTGCAATAGGTGATCTCCAATGTCTTTTCCAACCTCAATGATTCTGTGATCATTGCATTTTTCTTATAGCAGAACCAAATAATGTAACAGATTCTTTCTAAAGCCTGTGTCACCCAGCTGCCAGAACTGTAGATCTTGTTTTTGTTTTAACCCAATACCTTTGTGATATGGGCATGTTCCAGAACCCTCTGCTGTCTGTGCCATTGTTTGTGTTTATAGGAAAATGGAAAAAGGATTCTGCATTGTGATGGGCATGTGCTGTTCATTTTAAATGCAGGCCCAGCACATAAGATTTCTGTATGGAGAGCTTGAGTCCCTTCTTAGGCATGGGAATTTCCCAGAGGAGTTTGGGATGTTGTGCAGTATGTTCTGTGAAGGGAAGAAAATTAGCAACAGTCACCAGAAAGAATTCAGAATTCATCCTACTTAGAGCATAGGTTCATCTATGTTGCCTTGGTGCTGGCAGAGGCTCAGTTATGTGTGGCATGGGGAAAAATGCAGAGACAGGACTCTTGATGCAAAGAAATACTGCATGTCTGAGCAGTAAATAAGGGGATGAGCTAAAAAGTAACTTGGCCAAATCTGAGTGATGATTGAGAGATCTCAAAAACAAGTCTCTGGATCTAGGACCCTAAGTTTCTCATCCTTTGGAAAAATTATTGACTCATTTGAGCTCCTAGGGAAAAAAAAAAATTGCAATAAAAAGTATAATTGTCTCTGTAATATTGATAATGTATGAAGTGCAAGGAAATGTATGAAACCATTAAATGAAATGTATGAAATGTATTAAACCATGGATACATGGTGTTATTTCCAAGTCTGAGTTACAAAAGGTTATGTGAATAATAACATTTTTTCAAACAGCTATAATCTCTTATATAATAACAGATACAATCTCTGAAAGGAACAAAAGAAGAGTTAGATGTTCTTCCTGGGACTTTATATATATAATTGGTGTTTCTCATGGACCTGGGCACCCTCATACCTGATTTCCCTACCTTTTCTGATGTATCTTTCTTCAACTTTATCAGCACAGTTATTTCTCTTATCATACCAGATTCAACCATTCAGTATTCTTGAGTCCTTGCTTCATTTAACTAACACTCAATGTCAGGCAGAAAAAAAAAAAGAAGTTTCTTACCTTTTTTTTTTTGTTTTTTTTAAACATAGCAAACAAATTAAAATGAGGAAACTTGACAGCACGAAAGTACAGCCACTTAAATCTGAGCAGCTTCTTCACATAGAGGACCATGATTTTGCACTGAGACCTGGATTTGGAGGTAAGCAGCACATGCCTGCACTGAGCTGGTTGATAGTTTATCCTCTTTTTGGAAGTTTACTTAAACTATGTCCAGCAGCATTACTTAAAATTGAATGACAGACTTAATTGCAGTTCACCTCTTTTGTCGTACTCCAGAAAATAAAGAAGGCAAGGGACTTCATGTTTCGCATATCAATAGGAGAAACTGTTCAAATTCTCTTGATTTTGGAAGTAATTAAAAAAAATTATTATTGGAATAAGATTGTTTAAGAACAGTGATTAAGGTATCCCCGTAAACTGTATAGTATAGTAGCAATTATTAGCAAATTACTTAGTCATGAAATTGTGTTGAGAGATTGAAATGAACCATCAATTCCTAAATCAGTTTGTACAAAATTTAAAAACTACCCACAGGCCTTCAATTTATTACCATGTTGTTCCTGTGTTGCTGGGCACTATGATGATTATTTCTTCATTTACCTAAATTGCATGTGGATAAAGAGAGTATTCAATGGGATGTTCACAGTTTGGATTCAATTTTGACTCTTCTTCATGCAAGGTAAAATGAGAAAGCTGCCCCACTAATAACTTTGTCTGAGCCTTTGTGTCACAAATTCTGTGTTCATGATTCATGAAAATAGACTGAACTGCTCTGGATTATGAAGCCAAAACAAATATATGAGGACCAATAATCAGGTGTGTAAACAAACATAAATCTGGGAGGCTAGCTGAAGTCTATGGAGCTATTCTTGTTGCCATCACCTGTTGGGACCTGGGGCCTGGCAAACATGCTAGGAAGGAGACCTGGTGTAAGAAGAGCCTCTCTGAATGCACTGGGAGAATGTGAAAGGGTTTCTTGTTACCTTAAAAATGTTGTCAAAGAGCAAAAATCTTGCCTGATTTTGAACAACAGTTGAGATACATCTGTTTCTTGACAACAAAAGTTAGGATTACCTCTTGCATAATACCTGTCTAATATCTGTTATTCTGGACATCTTGTTACTACCTGCTTTGCCACACAAGGAATTTAAATTTTTGAGAGTATCATATCAGAAAGGAAGTAGCATTTCCATGCAAGCCAACAACAGTTTGGGAGGTACTTTATCACTGGATCATCCCAGAAAGCAATACTTATGATGTACATAAAAGCAGCTTTCAGAATATATGCTGTGATCTGACAGTTGTAATTTTCCACAGGCAGTGAGGATTTTTTTACACCCAGCAAATCTGTACCAGGCTTTTTCCCCTTGTCCTTTTATTTTCAGATGACTAGTCACAGAGTCCATTCAATTCCCATTGAAGCCAGCTGTAGTTTTTCCACTGACTATTGGACAGGCCTCTCAATAATCACATTGCCATGGATATGATTTTAGCTATATTCCTGTCTTTCAGAAATAGCTTTCAGCAGAAGAGTGCATGAGCTTTGCTTCTCTTCTATCATCCACATGCCATAGTGGCACGGGAGGCATGTTTTTCAGTCACATCCAATAGTTCACACAGTTCCAAACTTTGAGAACTCTCTTAATATGTCAAAAACTTATGCATGAATCTCTCTAAAACAAAAACATAGATCCTTTAATATTTTTATAGCACATAGTGAAAAAAGTCTCAATGAAATGAATGTTGATCCCAAATTTATACTCCATTGTTCCAGGCTTACCATTGATTTCAGTGATGTTACAGTAGTAAAAAATGGTTTCTTTTTCACAAAAGGCAGATTAATAAGGCAGCAGCAGAGTTAGTACACAAGTGTGACCTCATCAGAGGACAAAACTCACCAACTGAAACATGAATCTGAATAACATACCCAGAATTATTGTATGACAGAGACAGAGTACAGGTTTCTCTGAAGAATGCTGATCATTAAGTGTGCAGCAGAAGAAAACTTTAACTGGAGAAGGTGAATTCAGAGGTACTGTTGCTACAGCCATTGCCACAGCAATCATAACATAGCCCTAAACTGCATAAAGACCTACAACACTGTGGCCTCATGTATTTAAAGCAGGTGAAATTTTGGGTTTGTTTTTATCAAATCTAATGAAGCATTTCAGTACTGTGATTCATGAAGGGCTTGTATCTGTCACATGCCACAGTGCATGATTTATTCAGCTCAGCACAATGCATCAATTCACAACACTGATGGGAGAAAAAAGAACCGATCAAAAGAGCTGGGTGAAAACCAAGTATTTTTAAATTATTCTTTACCATTAGCAGAGGGAGAAATTTTTGCCCTCTTCTATACCCCATTGCAATTTTCTGGGTATGTCTGGGAGTTGGATTGACAGATTTTGTTAATATGGCTCCACTTTGCCCCTTTCCCTGAGAAGGTCAATCATCCTTTGCACCAGGCTGGGAGAACAAGCAGTTGGAAAATTTATGCTGTCTTGAACCTGCTGGAGATCCCTCAGTTCAGGGAACTCTTAAATCTAAATCTGGCTTGTTTGATCTAGCCCCACACATGCAAAGTAAATGAGGCAGACTACAGGACCCAGAGTTTTTTAGTATTTATAATTAACAAAGGAGAGGCAGAAAAAATCACATGCTGAATTTGATTTGTAAACTGAGAAAACATGCACAGGAAAAAAACTGGGGTAAATGAATGTAGAACTGTTGGATACTGATGCTAGTGGCTGCAGTGTTACTGGAAATAATTTTAACTTTGTTCACATGACTGGTTGTTTTCTCATGAAAGTATATTGCTCTGTGGACATAAGAGAACATTTTTTACCAAATGGACACAACTCAACTGTCATTTATATGAATGTATTTTGGCATTCTTCTGTGGATTGCAATGCCATTTCAGCTGCACAATCAGAATTTGACTCTCTGACTGTTGATTTTAAAATTTAGTCCTAACACTGTCCATTTATTAACAGATTAGAGATCAAAGTCTGAGAACCATACTGTGTCAAGATGAAGCAAAAGCAGCAAACTGCTAGCAAGCTGTTTCTACATTTTTGCTAAAGAAATGCTACTTTGTCTGCAGTTCATTATACAGTGAGGTTGACTGAAGCAAACCAATAATTCAGTGTACACAAACGTCCTTTAAAAAACTAAACTTACATTGTGACATTGCACTTATTCCCTAAACCAGGCTCTTGGATTGTTGTTTGGGGGTTGTGTGTGTTGGTGTTGGTTTTATTTTCCTTTCCTGGATTTTTTTTTTTGTTTTGTTTTGTTGCTGACTTCTGTGTAATGTCATGGTCTTCTTTTGTTTGAAAATCTTCAATAGATGGACCCCCACTGATGCAAACAGATGTGGACTGGCATAGGGATTTGAGTAATTCTACTAGATATTTGACTAGGAGCACGGATGTTTCCTTTGCTCACACAGCTTTACCAGCTGCATCAGTGAACGTTGTAGGTATTATGTTTAGTCCTTGTTGCTTCCAGGAGCACTAATAAAGGCCAGGAGATCGGTATGTGAGGGGTCCTGAAGTGGTATAATAATGCTTGCTGGTGCTGGTAAGGCTGTCTGTCTGCATAGATCTTACCGATGGAAACAAAAGACTGTCAGTAGACTCAGAGTCTTCATGAGATGTATCTTCATATTACTATGGTTAAAGTACTTCAACTGATTTTTCAGTAGCTCGATAAACTGATAATCTGTGAGAAAATAACCTAAATTTGGACTGGAGAAAAGGTAATAACAGTCTTTCTAGACAACTTGCATCCCATCTACAATTAAGCATAATCTTAATTCCAAATTTTCATCTGATCAGAAATCCCATAAATTCACTTCACCTTATGCTTAGCAACATTTAAATTAATCTGAAGGTAAAAGGGGTGGAAAGGAAAGAACTCATGTAACATTGGATGGAATAGCTGGGGTCCAGAACAGAAAAGGAATATTTTGGTAATTTGCAAGACCTCCAATAGGCTCCTTCTCATGATTTTTTTCTCTTACATTGCCAATTCTTCCATTCCAAGAGTTGGCTACTGCTAATACCAATCCACATTCATTTCTTACATAAATAAGATGATAGAAACAAAACAGTAACAAGAAGAAAATAACATTGCCAGTAATTCTCCTGTTTCAGGCATTGTCAGAGGAAAGTAAATACATCCACATAGCTTTGCTTCCCTGGGGCTTGTTTGCATTTTTACTGGTTTTCTTCCTCTACAGGCCCACAAGCCTTTTTTAGAAGAAAGTACTCCTATAGACCTTAATGCTTTCCTGGTCTCTGCCTCCTACTGGGAGCTTTCTGTAGACCTACATTTTTTTCCAGAATACACTTACAAAGCCAATTGGCTGGCTTTTCTAAATTCAACATTTATCTTACGGAGTTTCAGGTGCAATCTGCTGCATGTTCAAAGGTCCGACTTACAAAAATACTATAGAATTCACTAAACCACTTATTATTACTGTAGAAATTGATCCTAAAATGCTAAAAGGATATCCTTTTTACGTAATATCCCTTCTAAAAAGGGTATTATAGAATTTGCCTCTCGTACTATCTATTAAAAAAATTCCATGTTCATCAAGGAATTCTTTTGCTATGTTTAAACCTTTAACATAAAAGATTGGAAATGGCTTGTGTGAAGATAAACCCATCTGAAAACAATCCTATTTTTTCTGCTGAGGAGTAATTATCCTGAAAATCTGTGGAGCCTCCATTGTGAAAATCACTAATCCCTGTAAAATAATGATTTGTAGCAACGCTCCAGAAGCAACTGAAGCTGCTCAATTTAATAACAAAATCCTCTCTACCATCCCCAGTTTTCTCAAACTGGGAAATAAAAAACACAGCTTTGCTCTGGTTACTTTTTTCAAAGTGAATTTGATGTTGCCTGATGGTCAGTCAGAGACTGAAATTCTCAATATACTAGGGAGAAAGCTGTGGTGCAGACAGAGAGGTAGACTATTCTGGGTGGTTTAGGATCCTTTCCAATGCTTATTGAAACGGTCTTTTTTAAAAACATCCAATCATGGTAAAACAAATCCAAGTGATTAAGAAATTACAGTTCTCAGCAACCTGTTCCTAATAGTTAATTATTACTGTTTCTAGTAGCATTGGTTTTTAATCACAAAAAGAAATGTTCCCAGAAAACTGCAAGTCTCAGAAGGACTAGACCAGAGTAAGGCCAATATGTATCTTATGGGTGTGGTGGTCTTAGTGGCAACAATATAAAAGTGTTTCAGATTAGAAAAGTGAACAGTGCACTGAAATGACTGAGGTTGCATATATGTGTAGTCTTTAGTATATTTATCATGTGCTTACATTTATTGCCAGAGTCAGAATAGGAAGAAAATATTTGCAGCTGCTATGATCTGTGAATAATAGGTCAAGGCTGGGGTTAGGGGATGTGGTTTAATAATTGTTTGTAGTGAATGCTAGATTGAACAGTATTTTCTCATTAAGCAGCATAAATACGGTCTCTGGCCCTTCCCCAGATAGAGAACAGGAATCTCTTTGTAAGGAGTCTGTTTCACAGTTGTAGCATTTCTATCTAGTAAGGAAGAGATTTAATTGTAACAGTTTCCTTTTTATTTAAATCAATTTAGAACCATCCACTATAATTCTCCTGGCCATAGTTTTTGATGTCTTTTATGCTATTCAGTGGTTGAATACTTGGTTTTATAACAGTTCCCAACTTAGTGCAAGCTCTCCTTTCAAAGAATCAAGCGCCTCTGCATGTATTTATGTATAGCTGGCACTTCAGTTTGTGTGCATGTAATTGACATAATCATACGCTGCCACTAATTTCTATTTTTGTGATCAGTACCTTTATATCTGCCCAGATGAGGTGAATGATTGAATGCAATTGTGTCCACACTGGAATACTGCTTGTTGGGGTAGGAAATTGCCTGTAATTTTTGCAAATCCCAAGAAAGTATTAGGACTGCCACCATCACACTTTTGAGCAGCTGTCACTAAGAAAACCATTTTCCTCACTACACATGATACATGGCTTAGAAAGCCAGCCATCTTATTCTGTGATATGATTTGTAGGTAGCTCCTTGCCTGTTTCAAGACTGTTGATGGTAGACATTTAACTTTATTAGCTTTAGATTTGTCCTTGACTCAGAAACTGGTAAAGCCATTGTTTTATGCAGAGAGCTGCTCCCCTCTCCTCCACTTCCACCCACATAATTCCACATAAGAAGAACTAAACCCACTTTTTCTAACATGCTAGACAAAGCAAATAATCCCCCAAAGTTTTAGTAACAGCAGTTAAGATCAAATGTATGCCTGCATATGAGCGCTTCCAGCATATCCTACCATGCGCCTCTGCCATAGTCCTAGGGTAGGAGTTTGGACACATCTACAGTACCAAGAAGGTGAAGCTTCATGGTGGGTAAGGTTCTGTAATAAACAGTTCATCTGCCTGTTTGCAGTCACTCTTAAGCAATGCTGGTAACCAACAGGCATTTCTAAATCACAAGCCACCTCACCCCAATCTAGAATATGCCTGTTACAATGCATGGACTTTCAAAGGAGACAAGGGCTGAGGACAGATTTCTGTCTTCAGTGCTGTTAGTCAGGTTTTCTACTGATTGTGCTCCTAGGCTGGAGTGCTGTGCTCCTCAGCTCGTGCTCCCTGAGCCACCCTGCCTTGTGTGCAGCTCACTCAGGTGTCAGCTCTGCAATGCAGGCTTGTCCTGGTTCTTCATGCAAATGAGGAACTTGATAGACAACACCTCATCTTTCTGTAGTGTTTGCGTTTAAATGGTGTGTGAATGCCATTTGTGATTTATGTTCACATCATGTATAAATCTCACAATGACTTCTACTTAGGCTAAACCTGTGTTTAGTTTACAAGACAGTTTAGACTTCAGTGGAATACTGAGCAGATGACTCCACTCAGATTACAACCAGGCATTTTTGTACCAGTACTTGGTACAAGTTGGTATTTAGCATAAGTAAACTGTTTGTGTGGTGTGGTCTAAACAAAGACAAGAAGTGGTCAAAACTGGTTTAAGAGAGACATCAAAATATTTACCGGTTTGTGTGAAGAAGCCTGGCTGGATATATACATCGATACTCTTGTATGTCAACCTCTAGGGCAGATGTCTTCTGCTGTCTCTATTCTCCAAAAGAAACTGCATTTTCCCAAGTGCTGCCTAGTGTTCTACAATAAACTGCTTGACTGAACTTTCCTGTCTGGAGTCCTAAATTCTGATTTTAACTTTGGCCAACAGACTGAACGATGCATTCCTCTCAGAGGGAGATGTGATTTCTGCGCCGGACAGCACAGCTCTTGTCAGTGTTGAAACATGCTCTGGTGTGCCCTGCTAACTCTGAGCACATTTTACCTTGCTTTCCCATGCATAACACACCTTCATCTGTTCTGTGCAGGGTCAAACCCTCCATTAAAAAATACAAGTCAAATCAAGAGATTTACAGAGTGAGATTTTAAAATCCTTCAAAAATCGTTCAAGATCTCTACTGGTAAGAACTGGAGGCAGCTGTGTAATCCTTGAGGGCTGCTATTTTAAGGATAATTCCAAAGAGAGACACAGTATTGTGGCTGGTTATCAGGAGAGTATTTCTGGACTATTTTGGCTTGACAATGATAAAAGGAAAAAAAAGAAAAAGAGAAAGACAAGTTTAAAAACCTGTTCCTATCTCCTGCTGTTCAGACCTCCTTGTACTCCTGTTTTGTACTGGGTTATTTTAAAAGTGTACTTTAAAATTATTTTGACTACTTTTAACAAAGGTGATTGGAATCCATGTACAATAATTACTATCAATTTTCATGCCAAATACAGAATATTCTTCGGGGGGTGTGTGTGTGTGTCTGTGTACACATATATGTGCACATCTCTCTCCTCTCCCTCCTCTGTAAGGAAGTGATTAGGCAATTGCTTCAGTGGAATGACTTGCTGCTGAAAATTACACAGGTATATAACCTGTATACAACTAGATCCTTCATTCTAGATATTGTACACTGAAGAGACTGGAAATAATTTTATATTTTGCTGTAATTTTTAATTGATTTTTAGTCACTACTGTAAAAATGCAAATATGGTTTTATAATTTGTTCATTCAGATCCCATTGAATTATAAACTCACAGCCTTTTTTAGTGGCATGAAATAGTGGGGCAGTATATAAAATCAAGTCATCCAGTGCAGTTTGGTATGTATTGTACTTGGTAATATATTATGTACTCAGTAATACACAACACTCCATCACAAAACATGCTTAGTATGTGTATAGCTTTTCCCTTATGAGGAGTAAGCAAGCAATCCTTTTTCACAAATATCTGCGCCAAACTTTAAATAGTTAAGGAACTAATGATAATTAGGAGGTGTAATATATTTTTTTGTTTATAAGTGTGGGAATTAGCATTTAAACTGTTAAGAAAACTTTGCAATCTTTGAGTGTTTGATACATCTACTCAGCTTTTCCTTATGACAGTTCTAAGTAGCACTCCAAACAGTTCATTAGCTTTGGCACTACAAAGAAGCTGTCACTGCTGTCCATATTGCAATGCCAGTAACAACTAGTCTGGCTGCAAAAAGATCACTGAAGATTTTGTACTCATTTTTACAACTGTTTAGCATCAAGTTTTACTTTGTTGTCATGGTCTTTCTCATTCAGTGTTCTAAGGTGGACAGACCATGGTAAATGCTGGGATGGGGTACTCTGTATGTTGTTAATACAGTCTTCCCTTTAAAAATATGGACTTACGCTCCTCATCACTCTTTCATTCTGTTACATTGAAGGGTCGCCAATACCTGTGGGCATTGATGTGCAGGTAGAAAGCATTGACAGCATATCTGAAGTTGACATGGTAAGTTGGTTAGTAGAAATGGAATAAAGCATTTCAGCCAAAATTCAGGGTCTCAGAAACATCCAGCTGGATGATATAGAATAATACAGTTAAAGAAAGCAAACCCTTACAGAGTACAACCTTGCCCTGAAGCATGCAAGTCATTCTCATTTAACCTAATAAGTGTTTTATAAAAGCACATGTTGAATTTCTCCCTGGGCAGGAGGAACAGATCAGCGTGGATAAATGCTCTGAGTTGAGAATGCCAACCATTGAGTAAACCCCATGGGCTTCCACATTTGCTCTTAGTGCTCTGCACATTAAATGATGAGGCCTCATGCCCTTTGCTTCCTTTGTTTATGTAGATCTGAATATTCCCATAATTTCTGGCATGGGTGGAGCTGTGGTCATAACAAATGGAAGCAGAAAAGTCAGTTCTAGGAATGGTCCTAGGAAGGAGATGCCCTCACTGCAATCAAGGACCTGCACTGGAATGCAAAGTATTCATTCCTCAGCTGAAATTGTCACTAATAATGCCACCTAGACATTAGTGCCAACTTGCTCTGTCCTAGAATAGAAGAGCATGTTAACTTTGCAAAGAGATCTCGTTTACAATATCTTTTCATAGTGAGCGTAGCTCTAGTTGTAGGTGTTGACTCTGCAATGAGATCTGTCAGTATGAACTCCTGCATTCCTTTGCAAACCTACCCAAATCATAAAATCTTATTACAGGGGCGTAAAATCGTATTACAGGGGGAGACCTAAGTATCTTCCTAGTATTCTTATCAGAAGTAATTGTTCTAGAGAGAGAAATGATGTCTGCCTAATAATGCATAACTTATATAGGTGAGCACAGAGCAGTCGGCTGTGCAGAAGCTCAAACTGGGTTTGCAGCATTCTCTCCATCTCTTTCCCCATATATATTTGCAGTCATGTTATTTCTCTAAATAGCATGATAAAATATTTGTAACAATCTTCCATATTTTAAAAAATTCTGTAATTCTTGTAAAATTTGTTTACTCCTATGAAATTAATCATATTGTTTCTTTATAATGCATTTCATTTATAAACGTACTAATCTAAAACCCCCATGCAATATTTGTACAAAATATACAGATTCATAGATTTTACAAATTGACCTAATGATCATGAAGAATGCAATTTCATCCCTCTGTAAAGGAACCACAGTCCATTTTGGGGAAAGCTTGTGAAGACTTTCAGAGAAACCTTTTTCAATTTGCCTTTGGTTGGTTTTAAAGTTTCTTAATCACTTCACTGATGGTCTAGTCCAGCAGATCACTGAACTCTGTAACGTTTATCTAAGTATAAATGAAGTATGAACCTCAGACTCCAGTGACAAGGCAAACAGCCAGTATCTCAGAGGTAATTCTAATCTGTATTTAAACTCATTGAGTAGTGTTTGGTTCCTCTCATTGAGGATCCTCCAGATGATGCCCAGAGAAGAAATTGATCCTTTGCATGAGTTGATTACTTTGTACTGTTTTCTATTGTATGTGAATAAAACAAGCATTGTCTTCTTCTATTTTTAATTAAACAAAGGACTTCACAATGACTTTATATCTCAGACATTACTGGAAGGATGAGAGACTTTCATTTCATAGTAACAAAAACAAAAGTATGACTTTTGATGGAAGACTGATAAAAAAGATCTGGGTACCTGATGTATTTTTTGTACACTCCAAAAGATCATTCATCCATGATACAACTGTGGAAAACATCATGCTCCGAGTATACCCTGATGGCAATGTACTCTTCAGTCTACGGTAAGAGCAATACTCTTTTATAAGAAAATACATGACTGCAATTGTCATGGACCAATAGTCTCTACAGTGAGAAATTACTAGAAATACTTGCAGTTAAGATTCTGATATTGGACTGGCATTAATTCCCTGGCATCAGATAACAGGAACTGGTGACCAGTGTGCCAGTGTGAAAATAAATTTAGGATTGCTAACATATAGATAACATTTTTCTGTCATTCACATATTGTTTCCTGTCACAGGATAATGGCAGGTTTTTCCATCTGTTGTAAATAGTGCTGGAGTTTATCAAGTGTTGATTCATTGCCAGTGGTTTTAGCAATATTGCAGTAGTTTTACTGTTGAAGTACAGTAAACCCCAAAATTATTAACAAAGAACAAGTGTGGGTTTTTTTCCCCTTGAGTCTTTTAAAAGTGTCCGTCTCATCTATTTTCACCCTGGGATACCTGTAAACATGCCATTGATATTATTCAGGGCTCCAGATAGGCATGGAGAGCAGATTATTGGGGTTGATACCAGCTATGTTAGACAGGTGTTTTCTGTGACTACAAGGAACTGGAAAATGAAACAGCAATTCCAGGACTGGAACAGCAATGTCATTAAATGTGTCTCCCTTCTACCTACATGTTAATTGCTTTTCTTTATGAAGCAGATTTGGATGATGTGGCAGAAATAGCTTTAATGGAGGAATTTTCTCCCTAGGGTAAAGGCCCTGAGGCCTGTGTGTTGCAGAAATCACAGTTCTCCAGTTTATTACTAATTAGGGCTGTACACAGAGGTGATATTTCATCTAATCTGGATAGTCTGAAGATTTATGCAAGCACTTGAGATTTTGGCTATGTAATAACTGTTCCAAGTAGTAATGAATTTACCTATCATGAAGACATGCAGAAACCCTCTCAACAACAGCTATATATACCACTTTAAAATAATGTATGTTCAAGAATCACACTGACCAGTAAGAAACAATGAGGTGAAGTATGTATTTTATTGCTATATTCATTTCCATGCTTCATGAGAGAGAGAGAGGGATCAGACTACACTAAGGCTTATAGCAGTAGGTCTCCATGTGAGGGTTATGACATACATTCGGCTGGGGGGAGGAAGAATAGCAAAGAGATGGGCAAACACATTTTGTCACCTTGCTGGAGAGGTAAAGTGTCATCAAGATTAACGGCAAGAAATTATGCAGAAATCATTACAAACCAAAGGGAGCATGTGATGTGAAGGACAGAAATGGAGAGAAAGGAAAAAACAAGATGGGAGGAAAGGAAAAGGAGGAAATAGAGCTGAGGGACAGACACAGTGTGAATCAATTTGCTACATTTGCTCATTGCTCCGAAACCCCTCTGACAGGAGCCCTTGCTCTGTGTCCTGCATCACATTTGCAACCTGGTGCTCTACTTCTCTTCCACGCCCTTGTCCTCTCTGCTCCCAAAGTTGTCTTTCCTTAACCCTGCATCACCAGATGGTGTGTTCTGGGTGACTCCTTGCTCTGACAGGTGAACTTGCAGCCAGCCTCACCTTCCTCTGCCAGAGAATAGCAAAGCCCCAAAGTTCCTGCCAAACCCGTGGATTTCTTTCTGGGCATAAGCACAAAGGGCAGGAGTCCTGTCTTCTTCCTTTCCTTCTCTTTCAGTTTTTATCAAACTGAGAGGCAGGGAAGGGGTGACCTAAAGGCTGGTTAACCAAGGTTTTAACATTATTAAGCTGAAACAATGTGTTTCTAGCCTGAGTGGTATTAATGCATATGTTCCTAAAGAATCAGACATTTGTTAAATCACCCTTTTTGTATTGCCACTTTTACATGCAGTGGGTAGATTATATTCCAAATATTTATGTGCAAGAAATCTGCATATTCCACAGTTTTTCTTCAGTGCCTAGCATCCAGGATTTTGTTGAAGCAAAGTGGAATAAAAATCCAGATTTGTTGCCAAAATGGTCTTTTTTTTTTTTCCCCCCAATCAACATTTTCTGGTTGTTTCCCTGATCCTTTAGTCAACAGCTAGAAGATGGAAACAGCATTCGCAGTTGGAAGTCTTGTCCATGATTTTAAAGATGTACCACTCTCACAACTCATTTCAAGCCAGTAAAATCTTACACTTGTAAAATTTCAGCTATAGTGTGATTACCGACCACAAGTTTTCAAAGATCATTTATATAACCAGTATATCCCTTATCACTTAAATCCCTGTAGGATTCAGTTTGGGGAAAACTGAAAAATCAAACATCAAATGACATGCAAGCTGTGACAAGAAAGGGAAATCTGGCGATATTTACATATTTAAATTGCTGCCTCTAGCCTTTTTTCGTTTGTTTGTTTATTGGTTAAAATGTCAAGGGACATTTATCTTCTAAACATTTGTGAAAGAGCAGGTGGAATGCAAAATAATTTCTTTACCAAGATTTCTGTAAGCTTTTTAGAGTATGAGGTATTTCCATGGTGTTGAAGAGTAGGCTTCCAGAAATTGCAGCTTATCTTTTTATGTAATTAAAAATTATAACCATTCTATCTTGGAAAATAGCACTTGGAATAATACTTGTTCTAATCTGTAATATTATCTACTTCAATCTATGAGAAATCCAGTCAAGAAATGTGAACTCCCCTTGTTAATCTTCGTAAGTGTAACCCTTCAAAACAAAATGTGTGAAAGGCTAATGAGGGATCAGGCCAGTAAAGGGTTTAAAAATCAAAGGTAATGTACTTAATGAAAAGACTATTTATGTTTTAAAAATATGTTATCTCAGTGATTTATCACACTATCTTGAAACAATTTTAGAAGTGTCTAAAAAAAGTAGAAAAACTCAGTCATTAGGATTCTAAACAGCAAATTGGTTGGGGTCTTCACAGCCCTAAGGAAGTGTGAAATTTTTCATTTAATTTCTGTTTTTCTGTTCCTTTCTGCAGAATAACAGTTTCTGCTATGTGTTTCATGGATTTCAGTAGGTTTCCTCTGGACACTCAGAACTGTTCTCTACAACTAGAAAGTTGTAAGTTTACTTCAGGCCTGTTCTTTCCATGTGCATTCTTACCAGCACTCCATCCTGTTCATAATACCTTTTTCACTTATTTTGATGTGTGACCTGAACCCTTCAACCTGTACATATTAAACTGTGGCCAGTTTGGGCTCTTTCCAGAATTCAGTGAGCTTTGGGAAGATAGAAAACCCATGATGTATCCTGCCTTGTTTTGACTGTGTTGATATTCCAAGGCCTAAATCTAAAAATATTTCCCCTGTCAAAAATCAAGGGGTTTTTTTCTGAGGAAAAAAGTGCAAGCCAAAATTAAAATAAGATGTGAATATATGACCTTATGGAAAAATGAAAATGAGTCCTTGTGTTACTGTGAAATGACACCCCTGACTCAGTTGTCTGTACAACAAAAGGTAATTCTGGTTTGCAGAGCCTTTTGGTATCTCAGAATTTATTCTTATTTGGATTATGAGTAAAACTGGGATGCTGGTTTGTTGTTTAGTCTTGGAAAACAGAACCGATGCCCACTGTTCAGGCAGTCTGCTCAGTGTGGCAGCTTCAGAGCGTGGATCCTATGTACCCTGTGACCCTGAGCACGTCCCCCATCTCAGGTAAGCTGCTGGCAGGGCACAGGACTGGGCTCCACTTGAATAAGATGGAATATCATAGAATCATACAATCATATAATGGTTTGGGTTGGAAGTGACCTGAGAGACCATCCAGTTCCACCCCCCTGCCACGGGCAGGGACACCTTCCACTAGCCCAGGTTGCTCAAAGCCCCGTCCAGCCTGGCCTGGAACACTGCCAGGGAGGGGGCAGCCACAGCTGCTCTGGGCAACCTCTGCCACTGTCTCACCGCCCTCACAGGAAAGAATTTCTTCCTTATATCTAATTTAAATCTACCCTCTTTCAGTTTAAAACTGTTACCCCTCATCCTATGCCCACACCCCCTAGTCAGGAGTCCCTCCCCACCTTTCCTGTAGTCCCTTTCAGTACTGGGAGGCCACTATAAGGTCTCCCTGGAGCCTTCTCTTCTCCAGGCTGAACAACCCCAGCTCTCTCAGCCTGTCTTCACAGGGGAGGTGTTCCAGCCCCCTGAGCATCTTCATGACCCTCCTTTGGACCCGCTTGAGCAGGTCCATGTCCATTTTATGTTGGGGGCACCAGACCAAAATATGGTCTTTGCAAATTTTTCCATGTCAACTAACTGGCAAATTGATGTGAAAAAAATGTTTCTCTGGTGTTCCCAAATTGTTTGAATTGTCGCCTATCCCTAAGAAAAGAAAACAGAAGCATTATTTCAGCAGAAGATATGATTTAGTTTTTACTTTCTCATAGATGCCTACAATGAAGATGATCTGATGTTATACTGGAAACATGGAAACAAGTCCCTGAGCACAGATGAGCACATCTCCCTCTCCCAGTTTTTCATCGAAGAATTCAGTGCTTCCAGTGGACTAGCTTTTTACAGCAGTACTGGTATAGTAAGCCTTTGACATTAGAAGAGAGAAGCACAGGACAGAACAATGTAGAATGTCTTTCACATTCAAATTAGTTGCTAAAAATTGACTGTTACTGTTGAAAGATCTCAGTCAAAATGAGGTCTGTCAATCACACTGGTCTGTCAGCTTAAGTCTTTGTTTCTTTTTACATTACCGATGTAATACTTTCTTGATATTAAAAGAAGGGGTCATTATATTTGTAACAACATCTGACAATAAGAACCTGAGAAAAATGCACAACAACCAAAGATATGCTGTTGTGAGCTCTTGCAAAATTGTGGTACTTCTCTGAAAGCCACTGGAGTATTTGGTTTACAGGAATCTTTGTGTTCTGGTTATATAGAGAAGACTGAAAATGCAAACCCTAAAGGGTCAAATACTAGAAAGCAAACAAGAGGCACCCCAGCGTGTTTTATTGTCTAAAATGTCCTCATTTTTGGAGCAGTAAAATGTCACTGAAAGTCTACTAGCCATAAGATTTCCACATGAGAGCATTTATAACCTATTGAGGTCTAATTCATGGTTTGCTTAATGTTCCATGTTTATACATAAAGTTGCAGAAAAAAATCCCTTTATGTCTGTGCTACATTGTTTAAATATAGGTATCTGCCCCAGACAGGTTTTTATTTCTCCCTATAGATCTTGAACTATACTTTCTGTCAAACTGCAAAAGGCTTTAGGAGTTATTATAGTCTTGATTTCATGCAAGGTGGGTTTTATTTTCTTTGTATTTGTACATGCAATTATAAATTTTGAAATAATTCTCTATGTAAGTAGTCTAACCATACATTTTTAACCAGATAAAATAGCATGCTTTCTACTGTACTTTCCAGTCTTTGTCAATTAATTTCAGTGTGGATATTGCCCTTTATATCAAGGCAGATTAATATAATAGAAATTATTGCATATAATATGATGAAACACTTTGGGAAAAAGCCTTTAAGACATTCAGGGAAGCTGCTAATAGATTTATTTACTGTATTTTATTTACAGAATAGCTTCTTTTTGCATTTAAAAAAGAGCCATTCAAGTTTGCAGTGGCTAATATTGAATGAAGAAATTCCAGTTTAAATTATGATCCAGGCTAAGCAGCAAGGAATTCACAGCTTGATCAGGTTCTTCATCCTTATCTCTTGCTCACGTATGAGCTAAGAACAGAGCTCCAGCTTTCAAGAGTCACTGTCATGTGAGAAGAGGGCAAGTGACACTTTACTATCATCACTGTGCCTTGCTGAGAGCTATATCAAATTTGTCCTTGTTGCAAGAAGGAGACTGGGATGTTTTCCACCAAACTGCTATCATTGCGTGTTGAATCTGGATTCTGGGAACTCAGCTGGCTTCTTTCTGCCTTGCTATTCTCATCAAAATACCGCTTATACAAGCAGATATGGTCTTGTGCACAACAGTGCAACCTCATACCACCCCTGTACCCAGGCCTTTGCCACACCTTCACAGCACCTTTGACTTTGCAAAGTGCAACTGCTTAACACCTACATGCAGATGCTTTGATGATGAGCTTACTCAGCAGAGTAAAGGTGAAAGAAAAGCCCTTTTTTTTTTTTTTTTTTTAAGTTGCAGGAACCTAATGGGAAGTACCTGACACTGGGAAGTACCTGAATGATGTGTACTGTGTCTGTTAATTAGAACACTACCCTTTATAGACACTTTTCTTTGGCTTTGAGGTTTTGTTTCAGTCAAGAGGTTGCACTTGCTCTAGTGCTTTTATTTTGCTTCATGTTGGAAGCAAATGATTATACACAGACCTCACCCCCCAAAGTAAGTAATAGTGAGGAACAATCAGCACAGCTCTAATAGGAGCCATCTTCCCCTGAAGAGTTTCTGGCAAAAAATGGACAAAAATGCTGCTCACAAAAGCAGCCTTCTGCATTTTAGGTTCTGCATAGCCTTTCTTGTGAACCTCAGTGAACTACACAATGCATAGCATTTAGGTTTTTGGAGTTCCCTGACCTCCGAAGGAGCAACAGTTAATTCATTTTTGAGACAGTCATTTTTAAAATCAAAAAGCTTCTCCACAACTGAAAACACATAGAGTGTGTTTAATACTAGATGAGGTTACTGAGATTTTTTTTTTTTAAAAGTCGCTCTCTTTGATGGCACAACTGCTCCACACAACCTCATGGATGTCTCTATCTGTACTGGACAGGCAGATGCTGAGCAGCCAACTACTTTTGCCTTCTTTTCACCTCACAATAAAACCGATTTCCCTCCCACGGCATGAGATATAGCACACATGCTTTGCTGCACAAGAGCGAGCATGCCCCAAAATTCACTAGATGGCACCCTTTCCTCTGAAGTCAACGCTGGGCAGGCAAACCAGTCTAACTGTAGGAAAAGAAGTGCTGCTTGTTGCTGGGTATTTGTAGCGTGAGAGAAGGCAGGGTATTTTTTGGGGGATACAGGGTGTTGGCTTCACTGTCCTAGCTGAACTGGACAATTAGACTCTGTCTGTATTCTCCAGGCAGTTTCAGTTGAAGTCTATTTACTGTTTTTCAATTTCCTGACCTCAATTATAGTACAGTATTTGATTTATGCAGTCATGATGCTGTACTCCCAAGGCAGCTGTGTTTTAATGAGGTATGACGGACAGTCTGTAAAGCACTACATAAAACCAAGGCGGTGGCAATATTACTTAGGCGTTTACTATTACTGATATGGACACACCATTCCTACTGGAAGAAGGGGGCCAGTGAACAGAGCTCACAAATAACACAGTGCTCTCCTCTTCTCCCCCAACCTGTTCCTCTCTTTTTTTTTTTTTTTCAATAGGTTGGTATAATCGACTTTTTATAAACTTTGCACTCCGAAGACATATTTTCTTTTTTGTTCTACAATCCTATTTCCCAGCCATGCTGATGGTGATGCTGTCTTGGGTTTCATTTTGGATTGACAGAAGAGCCGTTCCTGCCAGGGTATCGCTAGGTAAACCTTTAATGTATATTCTTTTGGGAAGTATAGAATGGATAGGGGAGAGGTTCTAGAGTTACCTTAGCTTGTTACTTACACAAGACATGAGGAAATATATCAGGTAATTGCCTGAACAACACTATTATTGCCACTGTTTTCATACCACAAACTCCTTTAGTCAACATCTACATTTGCAAATAGGATGTTTGTTCAGACTGGTTTTGCTATATTAGAAAACAGCTCACATAAGAAAAAAAGGATGATTCTCTGAACAGACTTTCTTTGTTAGGCACCTTGAAAATGTTTGCTTTGGCGCCTTAACTGTGCAAGGCACACAGGCATCTGTGGAAGCCAAAGAGTAAGCTGGGCATCTTTCTGCTCTCACAGTCTTAGTTCTGAACACCACAGTTTAGGAGAAAAAGACTAATTACAGTGGGTTTTTTATAGCATTACTGTTTTTCTCAGTGATGAATCAGCTGATACTACTTTAAGACTGCTTGTGTTGGGAATTTAATGCCTGATGGCATTTTACAATTTTTCAAGTACATTTTTTCAAAGATTAGCATCTCTGAAAATCTGATGGAAATTTAAGATATGTAACTATAATGCATCTGAGTCCTGCATCTGTCAGTTTAAGAATTAGTAAAGAAGCACCTGTTCTTTCTTCTCACTGATGTTAGTCCCAGAAGCCAACTGTATGTTGCCATATTTCTTGGACAAGTGAAAATGTGAGGATCTTTGTTAAAGAAACAAACTTGCATGTACTGAGGAAGCCTTCATTTTTAATCTAATTTTCATTATATTAAGCTGTATCAATCTAGAAAAAATAGGACTGCAGCTACCTCAGATCCCATTCTATTGGCACAGTCTAAAGCTAATAATAGATGAGATATAAATCTATTTTTTATTCTAAAAACAAATCATGGTACCTTCGACCTACTTTTATTAATGGATTTACCAATTGCTTTTATTTATAAGAAATTTAACTTCATATTTAAAAATAAAGTTTTAATTCTCAGTAGGTCATTTGTAATGTTGTCAAGATGGTTTTGCTGATCCTGTTCCTTAACTTATATATGGATTTCTGCAGAAGGAGTTCTATGAATAACACACATTTCATTAGCATAAGCATACATAATTTAGAGCCAATGTTAACAACAAAGTTTAAAAAGCTTAGCCCCCTAACCTAGAGTATACATATTTTAAATAAACCGATTTCCTCTTATATGGTATATTTCAAACTCCATCCTTCAGCCTAAGAAACTTGAAGAGACAGAGGGAAAACTGTTGTATGTTCCAGTGGACCTGAACTATCACAAAACTGGAGAAAGGCTACACTGAGCCGCAGCTGAAAGGCCATGCTATCAGCCAGTGCTGTCTCACAGATGTTACTGAGATGTCTTCACCTCCAGTGTTATATTAATTTCTTTAAAAGCAGGGCCTGGGTTGGGTGTCGGGTGTCGGTGTTTGGATTTTTTCTGACATCGAGCAAAACAAAACGAGCTGAATAGCAGCATGTAAGAGGTGAGATTGAAAAGATGAGGGTGAAATTCTGGACACACTGGAGTAAACAAAAAATATTTCTTAGTTTCAATGGATAATAGCATTTTTATGCTAGAGTGTTTTTAGAGAACCATGAGGTTATAACAGCAATATACAAGCTCATGTATGTTCTCAAGAAGTACAGTTTGAGAAGGAGCTAAGGGGGAAACTGGTGATTCTTTAGTGATTCTCCAGGACAAGAAACTGTGTAGTGGAGGCCCTGGCTCTGGGAAATGAGGGAAGACCACACATCTGCTTTCATGTCTCTATAGCAGTGCCTAAAGCTGTCACAGAAACGCGTTCCTCATGCTGCTGAATCACTAGTGTTGAGTCCCCGCTGTTGGAACCTGGAGTGCCGCAGCTCTAACCGCATGCACTGAGCACAGAGATGATCTACTGGTTTCAGTACTCTATGTGATAGGTCCTTCATGGTTCACTCCACTTTTCAGAGCCTGTGCAATGAAGTTAAAGGCAGTGTCAATCATATGCTCTCACAAAGGTGTGCTGTCCAAGCAATGGTGATGAGCTAAAGGGAGCCAGCTAGCCAGGGTTATGATAACCTCCCATTTCTCTTTGGCAGGTATAACTACAGTGCTGACAATGTCAACCATCATGACAGGAGTAAGTGCCTCAATGCCTGAAGTGTCTTACATAAAGGCTGTGGATGTGTACTTGTGGATCAGCTTCCTTTTTGTCTTCCTGTCTGTCATCGAATATGCAGCAGTGAACTATCTCACCACGATTGAGGAGAGAAAGCAACTCAAAAAAAGGGGCAAGGTACAGTCCTCTGTGTTTTGCTGCCTTCAGAAAGCATCACAGAAGCCACAGAGTAATCCTGATATACCACTGTGGTAACAGTACAGTAGCCATCTCTGTGACTCCAGTCTGTATCTCACTTTTATTTACTTGGCTGAAGGGGGGAAATGTATAGTTCTCTTTCAGATCTTGAGATGGACTGTGCTTTCTCTCCCCTCCTTTTCTTGTAGCAGAGGTTAAGGAGTACACCTCCTGATTTTTTTATGCCTTTTCTCCCCTGCTGAGGAAAGTAACCCTCATTCTGTTATCAAATACCTATTGATCAAGGTATTCTTCCTCTTTCAGAAATATACCCCAGAATGCGCTCATGTAATATTCCTTCCTGTTTCCTGTGAAGCAGAGTCTATTTCTCCTTCTCCTGCTTTGCCATTTTCAATTACGAAAATGGGTTTAATGACGCCTTTTTGTCCCAAACCCAGATGAATGAAAAGGTCATTTTTAGAAAAGTGTGCCTGAAGCAGAAATGTTTACAAGTTAAACATTTGCTTTCTATGAAGCACTCACTTAAAACCTTTGCTTCAAGAATATCCCCCCATGTAAACTAATTTGTTGGAATATCACGGGGGGAAAACACAAAAAGGGTGCATATGTTGCTCACATGATTTGATAATCCCATCAAAAAGCTACTCATGGAAATGTCTGAAGTCATTTCCCACAACTCCAGCAATGCAGACCTACAGGAGAGGCAGTGTTTGATTTTTCTGTTTCAGAAGCTGGAGCACATATTGCCAGCCAGAAGCTGGCAATAATCAGACAAGTGTGTTTTATCGCACGTATTCCCTTCCTTGCTCACGTCCTGCCCAACGGGGCAGGCCCCACAGATAGCAGTTCTGTGAGATAGCCCCGTTCTCCATATGCTCTCCACAAAGGGAACAACACTGAAGAGAAAGCTTTCTTTATTTTCTGTTTTATTTATTTATAATTTGCCGAAATGGCTTCTACTAGATGAGGAATAACTGTTCTTTGTTGCCAGGCTTCAGGAATGTATAGCATTGATGCGGTGCAAGCAATGGCTTTTGACGGCTGCTTTCACGATACGGATGTGGACATGGAACTGACTGATTTCTCCGACCACTGCGAAGAGAATGAGACTCGGGCACGTGCAGCCAGCATCTCCGATGTGGACACAACTCAAATAAAGAGGAAGAGATCTCTGAAGGGAAACGTGGGCAGGATTATTTTAGAGAACAATCATGTTATTGATACATACTCCAGGATTATATTTCCCAGTGTGTATATTGTGTTCAACTTTTTTTACTGGGGTTTGTACATATGAATGAAAACTGTTATAAGCTAGATATACAGCACTATATATAAGCTTATAATGCTATACATTGCAGGGTAGCATTGTGCTTTAAAAATAATGCAACAGCAGTAGAAGAAAGGGTTAAAAGTTTCCAAAACCAAGTTTTGTGCATCATCACAAGGCTGGTTTGGTTAGCAGCAAAACTGTTAATGAAAAACTCTCACATGTTTGGTTTCTTTTTCAATTACATTGTGCAATTGCAAAGCTACAATTGCAATAGAGCAATCTAATGCACATGCTATTACTGCAGTAGCCTTGAAGCAGTTTGCTCACTGAGAGACCCCTTTGTCACACACCTAAACAGACAGCAGCTCCCACCTGAGGTATTATCCAGTCTCTATCTACACTCTAACCATTCATCTTTGATGAGCCTTTCTGTTTGTTCTCCACTTGTGGTCCATTTTAGTAGGCAGTTGGCACCAATCGCCTTCAGATAGCTCCCATCCTTATTTCATTTGCTGCATTTCGATTTTGCTAGCCAACCTGTATGCACCTCAGCAGCCTTTGTCCTCGGATGGTAACTTCAGCAAAAATGATTATAGCTTAACAGTGGAGTAGGGACCAGCAGAAAAGCAGGAAGCAGAGCTGATGGGGCTTTGTACATCGTGCATCATCAGCACCTCAAGTAAAACCTTCACCCTGTCAGCTGTCCCTGACTTTCCACAGGACCATTGGGAAGAGCCTCTAATTTGGAGAAATTTTGCTCACTAGTCCCTGAGGCAGCACAGGAACAATGTCCCAGACCTGATGCACTCGGTATCTTACAGTCACCTCCCAGGTGGACAACTAAGGTCACCTGCACAAGCCATGCCCTTCCTGTGACACCTACACACCTGTGCCTCACGTAGACCTGCTTTCTGCATAACTGTTAATTTCAGAAACATGGGCTTCGAGGCAGAGATTATAGAAAACAGTGTCAAGAAAACAAACAAACTACATCTCCAGCAGAATCTGGTTCTTCTCCTTTATGTTGCATACATGAGCTTGGGGTTTTGCCCCCTCCCTCTCCCTTTGGCTTTTGAGATTGAATGTTCCAGTGAGAAGCTACGTATGCCCGCTTCCAGCAGTGTTCCCCAGCACAGCTCAAGGTACCATGCTGAGACACACAGGCAATAAAAGGAAGCAGCTGTGGCAAAACAGAGCCATATACAGGAACCCTGTCAGTCCCAGATGAATCCTGCATGGAAATATCCTTAGGTTCAGGCTAAGGAGGTTGAATTAAGGATGATCAAGGGGACACACACACAGTGTTCACAGATTCTAGAAAAGAATTAAGATTATTTTTGTGATTTTCCCAAATAAGGAGCATTTTCCACTTAAATTCCTTGGGTTTGACTGTCATTTAATGAAGTAAGTTTGTATTTACAAAGTCAGTTCAAAATGATAATTTTTGGTGGCAAAAAATGTCACAAGGTAAATTCTTGGTCATTGCTTGGTCACAATTAGGAAATGGGAATAAACTTGGAAGCCTGAACCACTCTCTGGTTTATTTAATTTTCCTGCTCCAAAATGGCTTGCTTATAGCATGGGAATGTCTCCTACCCTTTCCAAAAGCTGCATTTGTCAAGCTCTCAATTACAGAGCTGGAGAGGCTGGTGACACACTGCATGCCAGGTGATTGAAATCTGATGGAGTGAGTGGGTACTTTGGCAGCCAGTTCGCTGCCAAACAAATGATCAGAGCTAAAACGGCTTTGATACTCTTCCAGGAAATCCTGTCATGGAAAGCAGAACTGTACCAGGAATGACAATGCTGGGAATGTAAAGCCAACAGACACGCAGGCTTTGGCAACAGCAACAGTGCACTAGACCTCAAGCTGAGCAAATGTGCAATATGAATATATAAAAAAATACCACGACATGCTCGTTACTACACTGCCATTATGGAGGCATCCTGCACAGATGTTCAAGATTGCCTGACAAGATCCCATCTAATTGCTCCAGATGTGTAATATGTGTCTGGAACTTCTCATGTGAACTAACACAACATCATTGTTTTCACATAATCTTTTTTACCTGCCTTACAGGAAGAGGTATTCACTGCACAGTCAACAATGAATCCTCAGCCTCTAACAGAAAAAACACCCATGTGCTTCTTGACCCAAAACAGTTCCCTCTTCTAAATTTCTTATAGGATCTGCAGCAGCAAAAGTCCCGCAGTGCAGCATGCCCGAGCCCCGTGCAGGCTGTCCAGCAAACAGGCCTACACATGGAAGCGTGCAGGAAAAGAGATTCCTGCCTGTAGTGGACTTCCAGGAACATCCCATATAGGTGCCCCAAAGCTGCACATCTAGCTTTGAGGGAGGAAACCATTAGTTACTTTGCAACTGTGACTGTAACCATTGGCAAAGCATTCTCCCCACAGAGAGTACTACACAGCAAGTTTTATTATATAATGAAGAAGATTGCACGTTATGATGATGAAACTTAACTGCATATTTTTACAGCCAAGCTTAGATTTTCTATCGTCTTAATGCAGTGACAGGGATATCAGGATCAATTATACTTCAAAAATCTATTGCTTGTAAATACAGTAAAAAATAACAAACAGTATTTACATACATTATTTCTATTTGTTTCAAGGGAGCTAGAGGGCTGATTAAAACTCACATAACCCTCATCTGAAGCTTGCATTATCTTCCAGAAAGGGATGGTAACAAACAGTCAATTTGTCTAGACAGACCAGCATGGAAGTCCTTAAAAAAACATTCACAAGTATTTCCCATTCCTGTTACTTGTGGCTGGTTTTACAGTCAAGTCAAATGTATGGGTTTTACTTCCCACAGCATTTACTATAAGTTAAAACATCATGGCCATTATGTAAATACATATTTGTTCGAGTGTTCATCCCAGTGGTATTCAAGCAGCTATGCCAAGAGTACTTTGTGGATTTTGGAACAGAAATAACAGCTTGTAATGGTCTCTGTGACCAGCTGAGGTGCAGGATGTGGCCTCCCTATTTTTAGCATGTGCTGCTACACCCATCTGTAGGAAGAAAACATCCTGTAAGTGTTCATGTAGGTGATGCAGACTTTTAAGTCTGGAGAACTACTTCTTCAAAGCTTTATAATACTCATGAAAGAAGTAAGCAGAATTTCATGCCAGTGACCTATTTTTCAGACAGTCATGAAAATGTGTGCCTTTGAATATCCCAACTATTGGCGTTTACACTAAACTATTCACAATTTAATACATTTTGCAGTGTCCTGAAAGTTGAGTGACATTGTGATGAACTAAGAAAGAGTCAGAATTAGAAAGTAGAGAATGTCTCCTTTTTATTCTAAAGTCACAGCCCAATGAAAGAAAAATGCTTTGTAGAGAGACTTAAATTCTACTAATTTGTAAACATTTGTACCATTAGGACAACCTTAGGTTCACCACACTCTCTCTCTGGTAACCCATCCACATGCTGATTAATCTCTATTTCATGATCAAGTGGCCACTGTGTTTTGGTCAGCTGGTGACCAAAGTGGTCCAGGTTGATAAAGGAACAAGGACTGAACAGGATGAGCAGTGTTTGCCTTTTTCTCTCCTCCCCCCCCCTTTTACCCTGTATTACATTTTGCCAGTTTCTTTATTCAGCACGTAGGAGTTTGCCGGATGCATTCCTGAACACAGAACCCACTGGAATTACATAATATGTGTTCCAAAGAGATCCAGCTAGTGCCAGGGAAGCAGGCGTTATTACGGTGTAACAACTACATCAACAAGGAGGAACAGGACTAGCAAATCATTTTCTACAAAGAGAGGGATTTGAACTGGTATTTTAAGTATGAAAGGCTCTATTATTTTCCTCCAGGAGTTGTTGATAGAACACAGGCCCCTCTCCTATCTGTCACTGAAAGGTCTTTCTAGTAACTTACTTATGTACATATAACTGATCTGAGGAAAGCAATAAAACACCAAAGGAGTGCTAGCCCTCAGGCAATGTTAAGTAGATAATACTCTTACAATAACCAGGATAGATAGTAAACTAATCCCTGTCTTTGAGATAAAGGGGGAGACATACCAGCTAAAGGACTTACTTTCTGGGACATCTTAACAGACACAAAACAAACAGGTAAACAAACAGGTAAAAGGCCGACTCTACAACCTGGAGAGGAACCAAAGGGCCAGAGAGCATGCACAGGAAGCCAAGTTGAAAAATTCATGAAGAGGAAGGAGACATCTGGACTTTGCTTAACAGCGGGACACTGCAAGAGGACCACATACTTCTCTCCTTGAATAATTCTAAGAATCACACCTATTCCCCGAACTAATTGTAATAACCCAGCCCTTCCAAATGAATATGTATGTTTTGTTGTAATAAATATCTGGCTACTTGCCAGAGACGGCGTGCAAGCTTTGTGGAGAAATCCCCTTGTACCCCAGCCGGAATAAACATGCCTGCTTTATAACTCTTACTGAGTTGTAGAGTTTGTTTCCGCGCTTCGTAACTACTTATGTTATCCATCCACTTGTAAGGCTGTTGAGGTTTCCAAAATTCACCTTTTGCTGGTAGTTCCGCTTTGTACGCTTCAAGCTGTGATTACACAGGAGCAAAACTTTAGCAAAACCTACCTAACAAGTTTTCTGATGTCTTTCAGCCAATATAAATTAAACCATTAACAGGCATATTTAATACAGGTAGCTAAAAATACTTCTAGAAGCTTTCATGTGCTTGTTGAGGATTGTAAAATTTTTTACAAGGAAGCCTCAGAGGGGCTCTGGAACAAGATTAAAATAATGCAGCTAAAGCCCAGGCACTTTTTTTCTGTATGAAGTAACATTTTATACAATAACCAGAAGGTTTTATGTTATACCTCCTAATTTAATCCATGTAATAACTTCAGTGGAGATACTGCTGTGCAAGTTCCTCTCGGTTTCAGAAAGAGTATTTTTCTCTCCCACACAAATGCTAAATAACTTGAGTCGACGAAGACGGAATATTTCTCGCACAAATTATGTTTTCAAGTGGTGATCGCTTTAAAATTTTCTAGTATGGGAGGTAAAAAAGATTATGTGAAAACAATGATGTTGTGTTAGTTCACATGAGAAGTTCCAGACACATATTACACATCTGGAGCAATTAGATGGGATCTTGTCAGGCAATCTTGAACATCTGTGCAGGATGCCTCCATAATGGCAGTGTAGTAACGAGCATGTCGTGGTATTTTTTTATATATTCATATTGCACATTTGCTCAGCTTGAGGTCTAGTGCACTGTTGCTGTTGCCAAAGCCTGCGTGTCTGTTGGCTTTACATTCCCAGCATTGTCATTCCTGGTACAGTTCTGCTTTCCATGACAGGATTTCCTGGAAGAGTATCAAAGCCGTTTTAGCTCTGATCATTTGTTTGGCAGCGAACTGGCTGCCAAAGTACCCACTCACTCCATCAGATTTCAATCACCTGGCATGCAGTGTGTCACCAGCCTCTCCAGCTCTGTAATTGAGAGCTTGACAAATGCAGCTTTTGGAAAGGGTAGGAGACATTCCCATGCTATAAGCAAGCCATTTTGGAGCAGGAAAATTAAATAAACCAGAGAGTGGTTCAGGCTTCCAAGTTTATTCCCATTTCCTAATTGTGACCAAGCAATGACCAAGAATTTACCTTGTGACATTTTTTGCCACCAAAAATTATCATTTTGAACTGACTTTGTAAATACAAACTTACTTCATTAAATGACAGTCAAACCCAAGGAATTTAAGTGGAAAATGCTCCTTATTTGGGAAAATCACAAAAATAATCTTAATTCTTTTCTAGAATCTGTGAACACTGTGTGTGTGTCCCCTTGATCATCCTTAATTCAACCTCCTTAGCCTGAACCTAAGGATATTTCCATGCAGGATTCATCTGGGACTGACAGGGTTCCTGTATATGGCTCTGTTTTGCCACAGCTGCTTCCTTTTATTGCCTGTGTGTCTCAGCATGGTACCTTGAGCTGTGCTGGGGAACACTGCTGGAAGCGGGCATACGTAGCTTCTCACTGGAACATTCAATCTCAAAAGCCAAAGGGAGAGGGAGGGGGCAAAACCCCAAGCTCATGTATGCAACATAAAGGAGAAGAACCAGATTCTGCTGGAGATGTAGTTTGTTTGTTTTCTTGACACTGTTTTCTATAATCTCTGCC